AGCTCCCTGGGTGACCTTGGGCCAGTCAAGCTCTCTTGGCGCATCCTCCCTCACAGGTTGTCATGAGGATGAAACAGGGAAGGGGGGGTGTTCTGTAGAGCACCTTCAGTGCCTTGAATGAAAGGTGCATTATATTTCTCTTTTATCCCTCGGGGAAAGTTTTAAAGACACATGTGTGATTGTCTTCTGAATGTCCACTCCCCCTCATCACTGAAGGAAATAAAAAGGTAAAATGTGAAAGAATTCAGGTAGCTCCTTGCAAACTACCCTCTCCTTCACCCAAAAATTAAAACTGGAAAACAGGTGTGTTTGTGAAAGGCTTCACAGAGCCCTCCCCATCCCTTCATAGCTCCGCCCACATATACATGCCCCAGCAGCAGCAATAATCTCAAAAATACATGGACAACAATATATTGTTTCTCTGGATTGCTTCAAAAGCATCTTAAATCAAAAGGCTGCTGAGTGGGTGAGGGAGGAGGGAAGAGGCGCCACAAAACCGTAAGAGCAAAACCAAGCCAAGCAAGAAGAGACCCTGCAGCCAGGGCACACAGCTGGCTGCCAACAGATAATCTGCAAGTGTATCATCCCCCCCCCAACCCCACTTTTCCACCAATGCAAACACAGGCAGAGAAAGCAGCACTAGCAGGCCTAGCTTGTCCGTGAGGCAGACTGAGGCAGGCGGCAAGGGGCGACTCTACAGGCACACCCACCCACCCATGCAAAGGCATGCATGACAAAAAAAAAATTCAATGAAGGGGCCGGGCCACCTCAAAGTTCTGTGGTACAAACATGCCGTGGGGCATGCGCGTATCTCGCACGCAAGCCACAGGACATCTGCATGACACGCCAACATGCCCTGCCATGCACACATGGTGCAAGCATGCCGCAGGGCATGCTGATGTCATGCGTGCATGCCACAGGGCGTGTGCACTTGGCGTGTTGACATCGCACAGCCCCCTCAATCATGGGGGCAAAGTGGCATGTGTCAATGCCACCCACTGGCATCCTTGCAGTCTGAGAAGTAAGGGGAAGTGGCTACAGTGGCTTCTGGGTTCCAGCAAGATCTTCTGAGGCCTTCCTGTGGGGCTCTTGTCAAACCTGGAGCACAAAAAACACTGGCGCACAAAATGCAGAAGCACATAGCATCACCTCTATGTACCTCAAATACGCATGCCTTCCCTCTGCATGTCACCGTGACAGACAAGAAGCAGAATGGCCGAATGTAACATACTATAGTCTAGGACCTGAAATGAAGCCAGACCATAAAAGGTGACTTAGCCCTGGATCAAAACTATACTACCCGCCCTCAATTCTCTCTAGGAATACAAGATCTCCCCTGGGGTCTGCTCAACATTGCTTTGTAACATTTTACAAGAAAAATCCCAGGCAATAAAGATTCTTGTGAGTTTGCTTGAGCACTACTCAACACTTTGGACACAAAGGCTGCACATAGCAGAGTTCATGACGCTATGGCCCAGGAGTTGGAACAGAGGAAGGTCCTGGAAAGTTCCCTAGAAGACCCTAAGCCTCCTAGCAACTCCCAGGCGAGAAAAAATCCCAGAAGCTAGCAATGTCTTCACCTGCCTAGCCATAGCAAGCAGTCCGTACCTTTTTCCTCCAACTCTTTCCCAGGGGCAGCTCCCTATCACACTTACCTCCGGGGGCAGTGACCTGCCCAGCTCTGTAAGAGGCAGCACCTGAGGAACAGGGAACAGCTATTTTAAGCACCAACAATTCCCCCAGTGTGGGGAAGGGGGGCTTCAAACACCAATCTGACAGCAAAACTACTTGAAACAGTCTTCTCCCAACCAGGTGTTCTCCACATGTTTTAGCTACCACTCCCATCATCTCTGACCATGAGCAGAAAACATCTGGAGAGCAGAGACTGAGGAAAGCTCTCCACTGACTCCAGATGATTGCTTGAGGAACACTAGCTCTTGAGTGCCCTGACTCTGAGCTCCACACTGAGCTGACCATGGTCCTGCTCTGCTTGCAGCCAGCCTGGCCCTACCCCATTCCATAGTGAGCTGGCCACGGTCCTGCATTGAGTGTTACCTGTGCAGCCTCAGGCCCCAGCCAAGAAAGGAGACCATAAATGTTGACAGCACAGTAAATAGGTTAACACTATAAGCAGAGCTGTGGGCATTCAAAACATCCAAATACACCAATTATTTTATAATGGCATCATTTAATATAATAGCAGAACATGTCTTCGTCCTGGCACAAGAAGATTGTGGGATCCAGAACAATGTTCAAATGAGCAATGCATCCTACATCCCATGACCTCTGAGGAGGTCCAGTCCTGTGCAGGACAGAATTATAGGCATCTGTGAACATCACTCCACTGGTTCAAGGGTAGAGAAGAAGCTCATTACAGCAATTCACCTTATAATGAAGTGCAAGATAAAAGGGAGGGGATATTGCAATCTGCACCATGGCTGTGCTGAGAAAGTGCTCCTGATAACCCCACAGAGTGTTTTAGCTAGAAGGCATTCCTTCAAACTGTTAAAGTGCAGAAATAAACTTCCTTTTACACTGAGCCCTTTTCACAGAATTAACTTGTGATTTCTCAGTTTAAAAATGCATAGGATGAGCCCTATAAGATAAAAAAATGTGTTAGCTGGTGGTGCGTCCCCCAATTTTTAGTCCTCTTAAATTAATCTATCACTGGCTTTCTTAATTTTATCTGCTGAATTTTTGTGAATGAGCAGAGGGATATGCCAAACTTTCAGCTAATCAGAAGCAGAGGAAAAGAGGAGTGAAGATTATTCTTAGGGTACCTGCTGTAGTTCAACCATTTCCAGTTATAAAAGCTTGCCACAGATCCCGATGGGAAATGCTGGACTTCAACATTCCTTCTCTGTCACAGAGAACAAAATTAATCAATCAGATACCCAGAGCCAAAACTTATATCTGAGAACCGAAACTTTCACATATATGACTTCTGTCTCCAATGGACAGTTCATCAGCTTCAGAGTATTAATATTCACCTTCATTCCTTGCTGGCAACTGAAACTCCAAAGGAACTTTTAAAAATCATTATTAAGTGAAGAACCATCTTAATTGCTATTATCAGTTCTCTTGTATGGCAAAGTACTAACTCTGGAAGTATATAGGTGAAAAAGGGTGAGGAGAACTTTTATTTCATACATCTGTATGACTGGCATGCTACAATGCTCTTAATGAATAAATGATCCAATTAGCCCAATGAATGCCCATGTGCTGTCAATTAGAGCAGCTTGCTCATACATTCTTTATGTTATAAAGATTGTCCCCGGGGAATTCTGTATTATTCATGAGAGTGTATGTTGAAATTTCATAATAGCAAAGATATTCAGGGGAGAGAAATTATGGAGACTGTGGGTGTTAATCACTTTGAACAATATTAGTTATAAGTACTGAAAAGTCATAGTTAAATATCAGGAAGCAGCAATAATCGTAAACAGTCCAGCCCGTTACTTTACTGGAATAATGCTCTATTATCCTTCGGTTAAAAGAGAATGAAGCTAAATCAGCCACCCAATCCAAACTAGCCAATGCATGTTTACGTGGAAGTAAGACGCACTTTGTTCAGCAGAGCTTACCGTCTCAACTAAGTATGCATAGACTTATAGCTTTAGAATATGTCAGTTCCTTTTTAAGCTACAGTCCCTTGCTTCCAGGTCAACACGTGTGCAACCAAGTTGTACAATCCATTACTTAGGAACTTCTGTTATTTCAACTGCCTTGAGCTTCTGGGGTTAGATAGTCCAGAAAAATCTGCCAACCTACGGCCAGTCAGCTCACACCACAATCATTACTGGAACCACACAGTAAAACAGGCCACCCAAAAATACAAATATGAACCACTGCTTCATTTTCCAGATGATCATTTTAAATATACACTTTTTATCTTGAAAAAAGAAAAACCCCTAAAGGGAAGCACAAAAAATTAATTAGGATGAAAAGGAGGCTATGGAAAGCACAGAGGGCTTTTACTTGGGAAGAATGTTCTAATGTTCTGCAGTTTATAAATTATCTGCATTAGGAAATGTTTCTGTCTGCCACAGGCATGCAATGCATCAGCTAGAGGACATCATTTCAGAGTTAGAGAAGGAAAAGCAAGGAGTGAAAGGGGTTAAAGCCCCACTCCACCGGTGCTGATGTTCTATCTAACCAAATGTGGAAGTCCACAATGCCTGGTTGCTTAAAAAACCCCATCAGGCTGGATCTAAGCATCTGCTGTGGCCCTAACTCCGGCGCTTCCTTGACCCTAAGGGGGTGGGGTGCAACAAGACCTTAGCTGTATCCCCTTAATCGCCCGCACCCAGCAGGGAGACCTCTTCGCTCTTCAATGAGAGGAGCCAGCATCTGCCCTGCCAGCCTCACAAGCAAAAGAAACGTGGTTCCTGACAAGATCCAAACTTTCCTGTGAAATGCAGCATAAAATCTGCAAAACCCGGGGCCACACCAACTCCAGAGCGGCAAACCAGCATCTGCAGCAGAAGCACGCACCCCAAGAAGCGCCCTTTTCCGCCCAGAAAGAAAGACGGCACAAAGGATTTCCCCGCAAAAGACTGGGCTGCCCCAGGCCAGCTGTTTTCTCTGGAGAAATGAGAAGCGGCTCAAAGAAACAAATGGAGCCATTTAACACCCAGGGATGGGGGAGCAGAGAGGGGGGGGCGTTGTTTACATAAGAAAGTTGCTGCTGGCGATGCCTTACACAACGGAGCGCAGCCTGCGCCAAGAGGGGCGCCCGGGGCGAGGCGGGCAGCAGCGCCCCCGGCCTCCTTTGCCACCCCGACCCGCCCCCTCAAGCACAGCAGCGGGGTTCAGGGCGCCCCCCTCCCACAAGGCCGAGGCCCCGACAGGCGCCGGGGAGCCCTCCCAGCCTGCGCCCCGCTCGCCAATGCAGCACTGCAGAGGAGCGCCGGAAGAGCCGGCCTTGCGCAGGGAGCCTCCCGGGCCGTCGGGCACCTGCCGCCCCCTCCCTGGCCCACACGCCCCCCTCGAGGGCTCACCGCAGTCGGCGCACAGGATGCGGCCCACGTCCTTCTTGAGGTTCTTGCCGCTGGTGTCGAGCGGGGCGAAGGAGGTCTTGAAGACGAGCGGCTGCTCGGTGGGCTCCAGGAAGAAGATGTAGCGGTGGTTGCGCTTGACTTTGGAGCAGGGCGCGGGCGCGGAGCCCACGCGGATGAGCTGCTCCCGCTGCAGGCCGCCGCTGTTGAGGGGCCAGAGGTCCAGCACCTTCACCAGGATGCCCGGCGGCGGCGGCGGGGGGCCGTCGGCGCCCTCCTCGGCCCGGCTCCCGTTGCCCGTCGGGGCGGCGGCGGAGGCGGGCAGCGCCTGCACCTTGCCCTCCAGCACCACGGCCGCCGAGTACGCCTGGTCCTGCACCGAGCGCAGGCTGGGCGAGTAGCAGGCCAGCGACACGCCGAAGAGCAGCACGCACAAGCCGGGCGCCGCCGTCGCAGCCCGCCGCATGCCGAGGCAGCCCCGGAGCCGCCGCCCGCGCACCAGGCCGCCGCTCCTCCTCCTCGCCAGCCGCTGCCGCGCCGCGCCCAGCTGCTCCTGCGCCCGCCGCCGCTGCCGCACTGAGCCGTCGGTCGTCGCCGCCGCCGCCCAGGCGCCGCCGCACCGCGAGGCAGCAGCAGCAGACCTGCCGCATCTGGCCAGGCCATGGGGGGACGCCGCCGCCGCCGCGGCTCCAGCGCCAGAACCGGAAGCGGCGTAAGATAGGGGGGGGACCGGCCAGCAGCGGCGAGGGGCCGCGGATCCCGCGCCCCTGCCCTCGGGGCTCCCGCGCCAGAGGAGGAGGAGGAGGAGGAGGAGGGCGGCGGCGGGGCAGGGGAGCGAGAGCCGGGCGCCAAGGCGGCGGAGGGCGCGCCTACCCCATCTCCGCCCCACCAGCCCCACCCCCCCGCGCGCGCCTCCCTCCGCGGGGATTCCGCGGGCGCCCCCTCGGCGGACACCTCCCCGCCAGGTAGGAAAGCCCCAGGTAGGGAAGCCCGCAGGGGTCGGCGGACGTCGCTGCTCCGGCGGCGCGGGAGCCCCCCGGGGTCCGGGCCAGCCTTCGCCGTCTCTCCTCGGCGGGCGCCTCTTCCGCGGCTCGGCAGCCCCCGCAGAGGCCTCGGGAGGGGGCGGCAGGCAGCCGCTGGCGGGGCGAGGTGGGCAGCGCGGGGCTTTTCCTTCCAAGCGCGCGAGAAAGGATCCCGCGTGTCCGCATCTGTTGCGGGCAAGCGAAGATTCTCTTGGGCTTCGGTCGCTGATCGACCAGAAAATGACAACCCAGCGGGATATTTTGGGAGTTCGAGGACCAGCCTTGAACCTGTCGCGAAGGGAGGTTGGCAACAGGTCTTATTTATTTTTATCTTTTTAAAAAATGTTTATGGGAGTTCCCCTGGAAAGAGTAAACCCAGACCAGGCCCACCATGAAGCCGTGATGTGCTCCTTGGAGACTGCCCCCACCCCACCCCACCCCACCCCTGCTGCCTCCACACCAGGCTCTCTGTGACTGGAGATGCTCCTAGGGAGGAAATTGTGGGGGCTGCCTCCGGGGCGCTGCTTCCACTGAGCCTGACGCAGAGTGTGTGCCCCTGCAATGGCCTTTGATGTAGATCTTGGCTCAGTCCTTCTTCCCTGGTGATTTGCCTCAGGTGCCAAAATGTCTTGGGCCGCCCAGCCTAGATTTAGGGGGAGGGGGTGATGCAGGCTGGCATTCTGATGCCAGCAATGTCATGTGGACTCTGCAAAATAAAAACCGAAGGAAGAAAGATTTGTGCATGAGGAACCCTGATCCCACCAACCTGGAAGCACCCAAAAGGGACACAGGCCAAGGCATGCTACTGGCTTCTGAGAAAGCTGGCACTGCCTCCCTTCATTGCCCAAGAACCTCTGACTATTAGAATATCTCAAAATGGGGGCATCCTTGTCTCAGAACGATTCCAGTGCTCAACATACCAAGCCACACCGAGAATGGAATGCAGGGTTCTGCTGGTTTGGTTGGGTCTCCAGACACTTAGGTTGAATTTAGATTAGAAGCACTGCCAGCAGTAAAAGAAACATACATCTCTGCTTGCTGAATGAAGACCTCAGAGAGATTCAAAGGGAGAAAGATGCTGAGAGATCATCCTATCAACAGGAGTGATCCAAGAAAAGGTAACTTCTTAATTGCTTCAGAATCTGTTTTGATGCTCTTATGTGAAAATATGAAGCCCTAAAATGACTTAGGCCCCAAATACCTGAAATACTGTCTACCAACCTTCTTAGGGGTTAAGATACCCAGATGGGGCTTTCTTGGTAGTTCTGCCACACTCAGAAATGTGGGGAATGGAAATCAGGGAGAGGACTTGCTCTGTGGCAACCCCTAAACTGCGGAACCACTTCCCCACAAAGGTGTGTCTAGCACCTGCATGGCACAAGGTTCTCCATAGGCTGAAGGCACCCCTCTTTACCGTGGCCTTTGATGTTGAAAGTATTTGGTTTTGTGGGACCCATCTCTTTTGCTGTTGTTCGAACAGTTTTGCTTGTTTTATAAATGCAACCATTTAATCTGTTTTTATGGTTTTGTTCTCTATTGCTGTAAGTGACCTTATGTTATGGTGAAGGATGAGTAAGACATTTATAAGTACATAAGTTGTAGTTTAATAGTACCAGTTGATTGCGAAACACTTTTAATCCAAAAACTTCATGGAGTTTTGCAGAACCTAAAACGTTACACGTTTATACAGCTTTCTTGGACTGCAATCCATCAGATGTATGAAGCGTTATTTGAGCTGCAGGTGCCTGGTGGTGTGAACTGATGAAACTGACTGCAGTCTACAAAAGCTTATGGCATGGTAATATATTTGTTAGTCTTTAAGATGCCACAATACTCTTTGATGACCTTGCTGCAAGAGATTAATATACACACCCTTCTGGAAACTTTAAATTGAAATAGCCTTCAATTGTTTGACCATGATAACCTGTTTTTCATAGAATAAAAAGCTAATACTAGGTCCAAAAAAAAGGCAATTGGTTGAGTGATCTCCACAGTCAGGGATCAGAATGTGAACAGGTGCAGAGAAATGAAAAGGCTGGCAGCACTGCTAGCATCTCATCCAAGCAAACTTAACATCCAGTATATCAAGGATAGCCAAGTGGTGAACCTCCTGGAGATCCAATCTAGTTTAAAAGGTAGGGGGTTGTTTCTGATTAAGCCAAAGTCAGAGCAGACCCAATAAAGCCAGTGAACTTAAGGAAGTCCTGACTAACTTGAGTTTACTGATTTCAGTGGGCCTGCCCTGAGAATGACTTAGTTGGCTACCATCCATTTTTTAAAATTATCCCAATTCATCTGAGGGGTTAAAAAGGTGTCTGAATAGTGTAATACTTCCCAACAGTGGTCTGTAAGGGAAATCCCTTATCACTTAGTAATGCCAGCTTCACAGCAGAGCCCCAGTGTCTATGCAGAAGTGTGATCAGGTAGCAAAATAAACTTCTGGTACCTAAACTACTCTCTGGAGAAATTTTGAGATCTTGCACAAGAAGCCCACATTCAAAGAAGATTGAGCTTTTAGTAATTGGGAAAGTGACAGGAAAATTCAATGGAAAGTGTTGGATAACCCCACAAGCAAATAAGGATAAATGCTCAATAAACAGGCCATAACCCAAACACTTTCCCCAACGGTTTTGTAATCCTGTTAGATCAGTGGTTCTCAAAGGGTGTAGCAGGAGAGGATGGCAAGACTGGCAGAAACAATCAAATAAACTTTTAAACATAGTATCAACATATTACAGGGGGGGGGGAAACAGTATACACACTTTTCTTCAACAGCATATTGTTCCACGACATATTGTGAACAGGGATCTTCAACTAACAAATATGAAAGATCAGAAAAGAGAAAGGTTTCTTTGTGTTGTTTGTCTCAAATTAGACCTAATTACCCATCAAAAGCAAGCTTACATCTCACATTGAGTCTGTATACATACTAAAGGTAAATATGTAAGAGGCTCATTTATATTTTGGGAATGATTAATGTTCTTTTGTAGTTGCATTGTTTTATACTTTCTGAATGTCCCATGATCATATTCTAAAGCGGCTGTGTTCTATGTTATAAAACAGGCACTGCTAGGAGTTCTTTCTTTTTTGTTTTCTGATGTATTTCTTATCAATAAAAAAAACTGGTGTGACATGAGCAAATTTTTATTCTGAAAGTGTGGCCCAGGGGGGGGAAAGTTTGAAAACTACAGTATTAGATAATCTGTGACTAATTCTGTAAATATTTATAAATGTAGGTGACCTATCTTTTATCATTAAGATTATGTGCTAGGTGTTCAAATGGCATTAGTTTTCATTTACTTGCTGTTTAATAATACCTTTTGCAATAAATGAACCAACTTGCCTAAATTTAAACCAAGAGTGTTCTTGTTCATTTGAGACTTCCGGGTTTTCTTGAGCACCAGTAATGCAGTGTTCCTTTAGCAACCTGAGGCTTCCCTTCCTCGCTTGAGGGTGCCGCATTGGGGAAAGAGCTGGGACTGCTACGCAGCCCTGAGCTTCTGCTAGTTGCTACTGTGACAGCTCTGTAACAGGTAAGCTGCTTGCATAGCCTCGCTAACTCAGCTCTGGATTTTGCTGGACAGCTCCCCTGCTGGTCTGCGCAGCTCCGGCTGCTCCAGTCACCCAGCAATGTTTGCCTTGTTCTCAGTAGGCAGAAGCAGACAAGAGGCTGGCAAGCATCGGGGGTAGCCAAGCTTGCAGATTCCGCTCGAGTCACTGTATTTCTCTATGCTGCTCTCCAGTCACACAAAGGTCAGCGGTTGCTACTCACACAAAACTCACCATCCAGGCAATAAAAGGCATTATTGCTGCTCAAGGACACATTCCAGCCATGCAAAAGTGTCAACAGAATCCCAAAGCAGCTTGCAAACAATTAAAAAAAAAACCTAACATAATAGAACACCACACAAGTATAGCATAAATCATCAGTAATCATCAGTAAAACAATTGCAATCAATAAAACACTATTAACAAACCAGTAACTAAAAATAAGCTGAACATCACACTTACAGCATGCCATATTATATGATCAATAATGTATTTATAATCTGTAAAACAATATTATATTTATAATCTGTAAAACAATATTAACAAAATATCAACTAAAAATAAGCTAAATTAATGAACCCACACTGCCCTCCTCCAATGACTCAAAACCTTTCAATTAATTAAAATACACATCCACGTCCACCATACAGAAAGACCCTGATCTAATAATTAATTATGAGGGTGAAGAGCTGTGTTATAATGCACACAATTATCTTTAAAAATTCCTTCCAGTAGCACCTTAAAGACCAACTAAGTTAATTAGTTGGTCTTTAAGGTGCTACTGGAAGGAATTTTTTTTGTTTTGACTATGGCAGACCAACACGGCTACCTATCTGTAACTGGAACAATTATCTTTGCAAATTTTCTCATTAAGATAACTTCATGTGTGGCAAGACTCAC